GCCATCACAGAGCCTGAGCTCTGACTTAGTTCTAGGGGTGAACGAGGAAAAAAATGGAAAAAGGTCTGCACGCAATGGGAATTGGCTGAATTCATGCACTAATGCCACTGGAAGGAATTCTAAATGATCAAAAACAACATAGATTTACTCTTTCGAAGGATTTGTTTAATAAAGACAGTAAGCACAAAGGGGGAGAATTTTTTTTTAACCGGGGAGAAATTAAAAAAAAGTCACTTTTCGTAACTCTAAAAAATTAATTTACATTTCATAATTTTTAATAAATTTTTGTGTACCACCATTGAGAACACTCAAAAGCATTTTAAATAAGAGTCATTATGCCTCCTGTGAAGTTAGCTTTCCAGACAAATCCGATTTGCACAGAACAATCTGAACCGAGCACAAAAGGATGACCAAAAAAGTGTCAGAATTAAGAAAGACTCAAGACTTGACCTTGAAGTCCTGGAGCGGCCTTAGGACTCAGCCTGAGGAGTGATTATTTTCTTTTTTTTTTTTTAGGAGTGATTATTTTCAACTCTACACTTCCTCCCTAGACAAATTTCATCCACACTCATGATTTCAATTACCTTCTACATGCTCACAGGTCTCAGTGTTTATCTACAGCCCAGACCTCTCCTTAGAGTTCTTGATCCATATCCGCAAACTGCCTCTTCAGTCTCTACTTAGATGCCTCACAGGCACCTTAAATACAACACATACCACCTAAGTCCATGGTCCTCCCTCTCCAAGACTCCTTCCCACTCAAATGATCCCTACCACCACCCAGAGGCACAATCCAAACTTTCCCCCCTCTACTACTCAAACACAATCACTCACTGAGCATCGACTACTTACTTCTCTGTCCCAACCATCTCTCACCATCCCCACTGCCGTCCCTCTGGGCCAGGCCCCCACTGCCTCTGAAAGTATCACAACTCATCTCCCCATATCCACTAATATCCTTTCTGATATAGATATACTCTCCAATTTGCACTAAAGTCATCCTTTTAAGGCACAGATATGATCAAGTCATACCCCTACACAAAACCCTTCACAACGTTTTTCCATCGTTCTTCAGACACAGACCCAAATCCTAAATACACTCTGTAAGAACCTGTAACAGGGTTCTCAACTACTGACTATTTGGGCCAGATAATTCTTTGTTGTGGGGGGCTGTCCTGGGCATTGTAGGATGTGTATGAGCATCCCTGGTCTCTACCCACAAACACCAGTAGCACACCCCTCCTCCTGTTTGGACAGACAAAAGTATCTCCACATATTACCAAATGTCCTGTGGGGGACAAAATCACCCTCGGTTGAGAACCACTGGCTTATATGATCTGGCTCCTGCCTACTCCCTGGCTACTCTCCTCCTTGCTGTGCATGTTAGTGTTAACAGTACCTCACAGGAGGCACAATCGTTTACAAGCAGAGGAGCCTAAGTGCAAATTTCAGCCTTACCTTTTTAGCTATGTGACCTTGGGCAAGTTACTTCACTTCTCCATGCCCTGCATTCATAATCAATAAAATAAAGAACTTAGGACAGTGACTGGTATGTAATATGAGCTCAGTAATCAGTACATGTTAGCTGTTGTTATTATTCCTCGAATTCTCCATACTCTTTCAGGCTCAAAAGCTTGTCACACATTCTTCCCTCTGACTGGAAAGCTCTTTCCTACATCTGACAACTCTTTCCCCTCAATAATTCCATTCATCCTTCAGAACTCAGTTGAAAGGGCTCAGGGAAGCCTTCCCAAAGCCCCCAAACATGTCAAGTCCCCTATCACACACTTTTTAATAAAATCATTTACTGTCCACTCAAAGCGCTTAACACAGTTGTAAATAGATTACTGTATTTCCTCAATTCTGAAAATGCCACTGTGACATACACTGACAATCATAGCTTTCAAGACAGAAATTACCATGTTAAATGTAGACATTAATTTTAAAGAAAAAAGGGAACTGAAAATTGAACTAGTCCATTCTGTAATTCTTTGTTTAATGTCTATTTCCCCCTATAGAATATAAGCTCCATGAGGGCAAGGACTACGTTCGACCTGTCCACTGTCTATCCCTCACATCTGACATAGCACCTGCAGAGGACAGATGCTCAAAAAACATTTACTGAATGAATGACATTCAAAATTTGTGCAGTTTTTAAAAACTCTATTCCTTTTTCTTTTTTCTTTCTTTTTTAGGGCTCCGCACCCAGCATGGAGCCCAATGCAGGACTTGAACTCATGACCCTGAGATCAAGACCTGAGCTGAGATCAATTATTGTGATTATGGTAATTCTTTACATTTTCAAAAACTGCTATCTTTACCAAGTTTTTTTATCCTTAATTTGCCATGCCCTAAAAATGAATAAATTACTCAAGTAAAATAGTGAGATACTATGAGATCATCAGTTCTACCAAGCTATCATGGTTATCATTCCATAAAACAATAACAGTGGACAGTATCTTTTAAACTAAGCACAATTCTTGCCTTTGCATCCTTCTGTACAGGCTGCTAATACATAATCAAAACCTGCAAACTTCTGGTTCTCACTACTAGATGCCTGGGATGGCTGTTATTTCCATAGGCAGCAAAATGAAATAAAACCAAGCGTCCATCAACAGATAAATGGATAAACCACATGTAATATATACATACGGTAGAAAAGTATTCAGCCTTAAAAAAGGAATGAAGTTATTTGAAGTAGGGGAAAGGAATGAAGTTCTGATACATCCTACAACACGGATGAATCTTTTTTTTTTTTTTAAAGATTTTATTTATTTGACAGAGAGAGAGATAGCGAGAGCAGGAACACAAGTGGGGGGAGTGGGAGAGGGAGAAGTAGGCTTCCCGCGGAGCGGGGAGTCCGATGCAGAGCTCGATCCCAGGACTCTGGGATCATGACCTGAGCCGAAGGTAGACGCTTAACGACTGAGCCACCCAGGCGCCCCAACACGGATGAATCTTAAAGTCATTATGCTAAGTGAAAAAATGCCAGATACAAAAGGAAAAATACTGTATAATTCCACTTATATGGAATATTCAGAATTAGACAAATTCATAGACATAAAGTTTATTAAAAGTTACCAGGATCCGGAAGAGGGGGAATGGGGAGTTATTACTTAATGGTTACAGAGTTTCTCTGTGGGGTAATGAAAAGGTTTTAGAAATAGACAGTGGTGATGGTTGCACAACACTGTAAATGCAATGAATGCCACTGAATTGTAGTCTGCAAATAGTTAAAATGGCAAATTTTGTTATACATGTTATAATCACAACTTAAAAAAAATCAATATTGTAAAATACCAAAAACCATTGAATTATACATTTCAAATGGATGAAATATATCTCAATAAAGCTATTTTGAAAAATGAGATCTGGGAGTGCCTGGGTGGCTCAGTCAAAGTGTCCAACTCTTGATTTTGGCTCAGGTCATGATATCAGGCTCCATGACATCAGTCTACTTGAGGATTCTCTCTCTCTCCCTCTCCTCTGCCCCTCCCCCCACTCATGCGCTCACTCTCAACAAATAAATCTTTTTTTAAAAAAATGAAATCTGAAAGTCCTAGCAGCCACAAATGTCAAAAAGCCATAAAAGCTTCCTTTCTTCTTTATTACAAGTAGGTCTATGCACCCAATGTCTACATGTACATTCTGCTCAACAACAAAAGTCTCTGAACACTCCATTTGCTAAACTCTAACTCCTATAAAAGATTATCAATTTCTATGCTTGTCATTGATCCTTTAGATTTAAGAGACCTGCGCATTATAAGCATGAATCTCTTTGAGTCCTGGATCTCAAGGGAACTCACAGAATTTTAGAGCTAGAAGGACTTTTAGATCATAAGGTCCAAAAATAAGCAACATTCTGATAACTTCCATTTGGAGAGATGTGCATGGGACATGTTTTCTTCATATCTGCAGCTCTAAAACAAGGAGAACAGTAATATTCCAGGCTTCTGTGATGCCTTAAAAAGACTGTTTGCTATCCCTTCAAAAGGCTTAATTTCTTTTCCTGGGAACACTCACCATAATATTTGCCAAACTAACTGCAGTAAGGGGGCATAAGTAGCTTCCATGTTACCCTCATCTTTCTCCTTTGGAGAGCTAGCTGCCTAAGGGTTCCCAATTTGATATACTCTGTGCTTTCAGGTAAGTTTCACTTAAAGTCAACTCTCTAATTGCATTTCCCCCAAACCTGTGGAACAATCAAAGCCAAACAAGCAAGGGGGAAAAAAAAAAAAAGCATGTGAATTGGTCCTTTGACACCCGAGAGGACTTGCTGGTGACCCCTTCTGACACAGCTCCTCTGAGCTCTTCAAAGAGCTATGAGAGCCCATGCTCCCCGCACAGAGCAGCAACACACCTACTACAGACAGGACAGGGCTTCTAAATCCATCCACATTCCTGACTTCACAGAGCAGTCTTCAAACATCCAAACATCTTTTTAAAATGTACACAGGTCTGACAAAATGAAGACTCTGTAGATGGGTGGTGATAATGGTTGCACAACAATGTGAATGTACTTAAGGCCACAGAATCCTATACTTGTAAAAATGGGTAAGATAAGTTTTATGTTACGTATGTTTTACCAAAATGTACTCAGTTCCATATTTCAGCATGCAAATTATCCAGTTTGCAGAATATGTTTATGCCTTTTCTTTCTTTTCCTCCTCATTCCCTCTAGTTCCCTGACTTGTGGCCAACTGAGGAACAAAGAAACCTGAGCAAATAGTATGCAGGAGGAAAAAGGGGTTATTTTTCTTTATTTATGGCATTCCCTATCTCAAAAAACAATTTGAAGTGAGAAAAGACAAATTAAAACTGTTGAGATTTAACAATTAAAAAGGGGGTATTAAGCTACTTGTCCTTTTTAATCATTAAGGGGGTTCTGTTCATTTTGGTTTCAGGCATTTTTTTTGTGAAAGGGATGATCATATGGGAGAAAATAAGGATTAGGGGCGATCTGCAAATGTCAACCACATAATAATGTATGAATGCACAACTGAGAATTAGCTATGAAAACTTTATTTAAAGGAAAAAAAAGAATCACAAGAAATATATGAAGGAATTATTAAAACTGCTAAACCTAGTTCCTCGAAAGTTTTCAAACTCTACATAACACATTAGGCACTCATACAAATAAAAATCTTGAATCTTAATAGAAACTGACCCTTTCATATTGAAGGTTAAGCTGAGCCTTTTGACCAGGTTATTAAGAGTTGGCACATTCATATTCAGAGCTCTGAAAATAGAAATAAAAACTAAAAATACTGGCCTTTTAAATCCTTTTATAATAATAACTTTTATTATTATACAATAATTTGTGATTTAATAACTGTATTAAACTAAGTTATTTCATAGCAAAATAATAACGTACAGGGAGGAAAACAACCTGTACGTATAAAAAACAGACCATCCAGGATAGGATCTTCTCTGTATTTTGTTTTTGGGTTTTCTTTTTGTTTTTGTTGTTGTTGTTGTTGTTGTTGTTTTCTTCTCTGCATTTTGGTTCACGGTTCCCAAATCTGACTGGCCATCAAGATCCCCCAGGAAGAAAAGTGTGTGTCTGTGTGTATGTGTGCATGCATGGGCACACATGCACTTAAATACAGGTTTCTGAGCTCAACTCCCACAGATTCTGATTTAGCAAGTACAAGTAAAGCCTGGGACTCTGTACACTAAAAAAGTTCCCTGAGGGAGTCTAGTGATCAACCATGTTTTAGAACACCTATATTAATAAATTTCTTTTTTAAAAAAGACTATTTTACCTCTAGTCTCACTTTTAATTCTGACTTATTACTAGGCACAAAATAGCCCACTGCAAACCTAACACTATGATAAAGGTTTACATGCTTTGTGTCCTTTAATCATCATAACAGCCCTGTAATACAGGAAGACAATATTATTCCCATTTTACAGATGAGAAAACTGAAGTCCATAGTAGTTACTTAACAAAATTACTCAAGAAGCAACTAGTAGAGGCAGGATTCAAAGCCACACTTAGAACTCTCCAAAGCCTGCCTCTTCTGGAAGCAGTATGGTACAGTAGAATAAATCATGGCTGTAAGTAGCTCATTTTGAGCCTCAGCTCTGGTATCTTTTAGACATTTATCTCTCAGTTTTGTCTGTTTCCTCATCTGTAAATAAGGTTAATAATAATATCTATCCTTCCTAACTCACAAGGTTGTTGTGAGAATCAAGATGTGCAAGCACTTTCAAAATCATGAATAGTTACCAAAAAAGAAACTATTAATGGGGGAGTTGGAGAATACTGAGAAACAGCACAACACAGCAAGTAGTTAAATGCTCAGACCTTAGAGCCAGACTTCACGTGTTTGAACCCAAGCTCTGCTATTTTCTGGCTGTGTGACCTTAGGAAAGATACTTAACTTTTCTGTGCAAAGGTTTCTTTGTTAAAATGGAGATAATAAAACCAATCTCAGAATTTTGTGAAGATTAAATGAATTAGGGGCGCCTGGGTGGCTTAGTCGGTAAGCATCTGCCTTCGGCTCAGGTCATGATCCCAGGGTCCTGGGATCAAGCCCCGCATTGGGCTCCCTGCTCTGTGGGGAGCCTGCTTCTCCCTCTCCCACTCCCCCTGCTTGTGTTCCCTCTCTCGCTGTGTCCCTCTCTCTGTCAAATAAATAAATAAAATCTTAAAAAAAAAAAGATTAAATGAATTAATGCAGCTTAAATGCGTAGAAGTGTTTGTCACATAGAAAGCACTCAAGTGTTAAATGTTTAGAATGCATCCACTTTGTGAACAAAGCATTATAGGATCCAAAAAGAGAGTTCAAATATTTAGTGACAGTACAATAAAGCCTAGAAGGTGCCAACATTTTCTCTCCTTATAGAAATCTGGGTAAATCCCTCTAATTTGGGAAGTAAACATTTTGAGTAGTTTCAGTTTTCAAATAAAACTATGTGGCTTCCAGGGGCGCCTGGGTGGCTCAGTTGGTTAAGCGACTGCCTTCGGCTCAGGTCATGATCCTGGAGTCCTGGGATCGAGTCCCGCATCGGGCTCCCTGCTCGGCGGGGGGTCTGCTTCTCCCTCTCATGCTCTCTGTCTCTCATCCTCTGTCTCTCAAATAAATAAATAAAAAAAATAAAAATAAAAATAAAAAAAAAACTATGTGGCTTCCAAAATGCTTCATTTGTGCAAATACTTAAAATCCTTGTATCTCATTTTCACTTTATTTTAAAGAATCTTTTACCCCTTTATCTGAAAATATCTCGCTTGATTTTTTAAAAGTGATTTTGTTAAAGTATCACAAGCTTGCCAACAGTTTTTAGACAACTTTTCTTTGCTTCAAACATCCCTCTATGGAATTTGACTTCTAATTCAAAAGCTAACGGAGTAGTTTACCAGAGGAAAAAAATGTAACAATGAGCTGGATCAAAAAGAGACTGTATAATATGTCAAAAGGAAATGGCACTAGTCCTAAATGAGCTATTTACTAAGAATAACAAAAAGGAAGTGGCGAGGGACTAATCCTCACAAAAAGAAAATAATTTAATAATGCTCTAACCAATTCTTGTACCAGATTAATTTATGGTCAGGTCTGCAGCTGCAGATAGAGTCAGAGTCTGAAACAAAGTTGGCACCTCAATAAGAAATCACAGCTGGCAGTTATCTTAAATTTCCAATATGCAACAGGAAATGTTGCCAGTGATTCAATAGGTGACAACCCTTTCCATTTTTTTCTTTCTTCTGAGTTGTCAACAAACCGAAACAAAAATGCTCCAGAAGCTCTGGTACTAGCTGAAAGTTAAACATAAAAATTCCACTGCAGTATTTCAAAAAACAGCTAAAACAACTGAATCTGGGCAGACACCAAATAAGGACTGTTTCTGTCAACATTTATACAGTGCCTCCTGGAATATGTTAACTGTATGGCCTACGAGTGTTTCTATAATATAGTTATCATATTTTCCACATTCTAATTACCTTAAGTTTCAATACTGAAGATTCATTATAAATTTCAAAACATTACAGGTACCTCACAGTAATCCACAAAAAATAAAATGAAAAATTAATTTTAGATAAGAGAAACAGATATCCAAATAAAGAGATGGTAACTATATTCTATTCTAATACAGTATTTAGAGGCCATATATAACATCTTATTCACAGTAAGCATTCTGAAACCAGCTCAGTGAATCAAAGTCTATATATATCTCCCCCCAACATTTTTACAACGTTCCCAACTGTGCAACTCAACATTGAGAGGGGGTTTTCCAGACACACCTCTCTGGCAATGTTACTCAAAGCTTCATCTTCTGCAGAAAATCGGTCTTTTACAGGTGTCCTTTTCCTTCCAGAACCAGGAGTCCCCATATTGCCTTCTTAATAGTTTTTTAACCGTGAAACGTGATTTCACTATTTTCAGCCCTGAAATAAACAGAAACAGAATTAACTTAGGATGTTTCTCTTTGTACCATTTTAAAGCTCCTTTATACATTCACTTTTAGAAAAGAGAAATTATATTTATGTATTTACATATAAATTAGTCACCAAATACTTCTTCCTCACTATAAAATTATTCCAACAAATTTCAGAATATTTAAGTTTATACTAATTATTAAACCTCCCAATTCTTTTTTACCATGCTACCCACAGACAGCAACCTCTAAGAATGTGTTGTAGGGGAACCTGGGTGGCTCAGTCAGTTGAGCCGCTGAGTCTTGATTTCAGCTCAGGGTTGTGAGATCAAGTCTGGCCTCGGGCTACAGGCTTGGCAAGGAGTCTGCTGGAGATTCCTTCCCCCTGTCTAACCCCCCTAATCACCCCCACCCCTTACCCCTGCTCGCATGCTCTCAGGGACGCACGCACTCTCTCTGTCTCTAATAAATAAATAAAGTCTAAAAAAAAAAAGAATGTGTTGTAACATTAGCCTCAGAAAACTGCAGTCAACAGTAATTCTACTTAACAGTTTAAAATTACTACAGCTATTTCTAAAACTTATTTCCATCCCAGAGCAAAAAACATTTCAGCAAAGTCATCCATTCTAAAGCTTTGAAAGAACATATTCAAGAAATTTTAATACAGAACCTTACACTTACAAAGATAAGTTGGCTTTTTAGTGTAATTTAAAAAACAATTCCAATTAAGCTATTACCACATAAGAGAACAAATGAAGATTTATTATTCTGCAATTAACAATTACCAACACTGTCCATGCAACAATGTCTGAGTGCCTGTTACCGCCAGGTACTATGGAAAGTGCCAAAGATACGGTGACAAACAAAACTGATGTAGGCCAACGACTAAGAATATATCTTGGATCTATTACTGTTGCTGTTATTATGAAAGAGACCCATTTTTACAAAAAAAGAGAAGAAAAATTCATCGGCCAGGATTTAATAATAAGGATAGTAAAGATCATCTGGCCTTCCAAACACGTGGTATTTGAAATTAAAGATTCCCATAAGAAAATGCATTTGCATGACCTCCCTCTCTCCTATACACATTCCTGAGTACAGCTCATTTAGCAAAATACCCATTAACTTAAATTTTTTTTTCCTAGCTTTAACAAAATAAACTGGTGAAATTTCATTACACCGTGAGTCACAAAGGAATTTTCAAATAAGTTTGCCCCAGAAGAATGAACTATATTAAAACTCCAAGTGACTTTCATGTGTTGGAATTTACTTGTTTCAGGCAAAATAAAACAGAACCACTTCACCAATTCACTCTTCCAAAGAAAGTCTTCTCCAATGAAAATTCAGGCCATTCCCCTCTTATCTGATACCATTTTTTTGTTTGTCAATCACAGAATGAAGACTGATGATAGTTCATTACTCTGCCATAGAAAATCTATCTGGATATGATAAGAAAGGACTCCTTCAAATGGAAACGAAAAGAAGGAATGTTATGTCTGAAAGCAGCAGCTGAGAAGTCCCAGCCACAAATCAGGGCAATTTCTGAAAAGCTCAGTGTTGTTTTTTCAGAAGTCTTCCATCAGGGGCACCTGGGTGGCTCAGTTGGTTAAGCGACTGCCTTCGGCTCAGGTCATGATCCTGGAGTCCCGGGATCAAGTCCCACATCAGGCTCCCTGCTCGGCGGGGAGTCTGCTTCTCCCTCTGACCCTCCCCCCTCATGCTCTCTCTCTCTCATTCTCGCTCTCTCTCTCAAATAAATAAATAAAATCTTTAAAAAAAAAAAAAAAGAAGTCTTCCATCATCCTCACCCTCAGCATCACTTTAAAGATCATACACTTAATAGTAACGATGTGCAAGTGTTAGTCACCTACTGAGAAAAAAGCAGCATGTAGTACTTTTCAAAGACTGGAGTGACAATTTAACTGATGCACAGTAATATCACCCAATATTTGTCCTTCAGCCGGCCTTCCAAGGACACATTCAAAGACATTTCACAAAGACAGGAAACAAAAAGAGGCATTTTCTAATTCCAGGAACATAATAACAGTTATAGAAGAAGAAATAAAGATTTTATCGAAAGTTTAACAGTGGTTTCGTTAGGAGGAAAGAATTATGGCTGCACTTTTTCTTCTTCTTGATTTTCTAACATTCCAATAACATTGGGGAGAAGAGAGATGCATCAATCAATCAATCCAGATCCAAGACTCAAAGAATAAAATGGCCCCAAAGTGGATCACACCCAAATTAGGCACCATATGGTATACAGCTGAGACACACTATCTGAAGCCACTGCTGGTGGCACTCTTTTGAATGGATTTCTATCTCCTCTTTTTCCATAATCCATTTCCTTCTTTCTCAAGAACACTGCCTTAAACCTCAGGATACTTCTAGCACATAGATTTACAAAGAATTATCTTTCCTTAAAGACGCCTCAAAACAAAACTGTTTCAACAGGCTCCAGGATAGCCAACCCTGAGTGAAAGATGACAAGAAAAGAGACAGAGGCACAGGATAAGCAGGAAATGGGAACAACCTCCTGTCTTCCTTGTCCTTCTTGTCCTATCCACAGAGAATATCTAGGGGTTTACATGACTCATTGGCCAGGTCCTGTCACCTTTTTCAGGTGCACACGAGGAAGATCAACCATTACCTATGTCAAAAAACAATCCAATGTTTTTGAAAGAATCACATGATTTGTATTCTGTAGGCAGACATCCTTACTAATATTAGAAAAAGTAAAAGGTTTTCGGCTCCTAGGCAATCTATCTTCAAAATGACAAAAATAAGGATATAGACTCAAAAGGTGATCTCAAATAGATTATTTCCAGTTTCTGATCCTAAAGGACTTTCAGTAAATTGCTACCGCAAGGAGGTTTCCTCAAGAAAAAAAAGAATACTTTTCTTCAGGAGCCGTGTTAATCTTTTCCAGCTTTTCCTTAGTGGTATTGACCAAACTAAGAGCTAAACCTTTACATCCACTGACAACAAAACTGCCCACATTTTGTCAAATCCATTACCCAGACAATGTCAAGCTGATTTTCTCCAGATGGTTTGTCATTAAGGATCTGTCTACCTAAGGGAAAGAAGGGAAGTACCTTCAAGGATGTTGTGAATCCACAATAGATATATCAACAAGGCTTTCTTTTCTCCAATGAGCTTCTCACATAATACGTTTCTGAAAAATAGGCACTTTGCCACATTAAGTGGCACTTCAATCATGATATTGTTCACTCTTGTGAGAAGAGAATGGGTATGTAATAATATATGTCATAATAATATATGTCTAAATATAGCACACTTAGAGAGTTCTGTCTGGATCCCAACAGTTGCAGTTAGTTCTCTATATCTGAGTATTTCATCATGGGGGAACTCAAAATATCGGCATAAGCCTCTGCATCAGAGTCGTCATTACAGTTAACACTAGCCTATGCACTAAAACATTTGGTCTTTATTCATCAGCAAATCGCAGTATCTGGAATGGCACTTGAACTAAAGACTGAGTGGGACTGCAGCTGTTGCCGCTGGACCAAAGTTAAAGTGAGAGGATCTGAGTTCAACTGCTGCACTGCCCTTTCCCCTACCTGAGGCTTGGTTTCTTCACTTACAGAGCAGACACAACATCTGTCCGCCTATCCAACATGGTTAATGGGAGCTCAAGTGAGTTCAGGTAAATGCAAGCACCTAATAAACTTAGAAAGCACTCCATAAATGTTTCAAGTGCCTTGAATTAACTACCTCTTTTACATATTCAGCTTATGAAGTGGACAAAAGGGCAATCCTGGCCTGTCTTTACATTCTCATACTTTTAACTGAACTAAAACATGCTCAAGTTACTTTCTCCAGCATGCATTATGTGATTATCATTAGCAATGCTAAGAATATTTGCTGAAGCACGGAAAAATCTAAAAAAAAATAAAAATACCTTTAACTATAATCATTAGACTATGTAGCACATTTACATATTAAAAAATTAAAAAGAAGAAATTTTTAAGGTATTTTGTGGCATTCAAAGTCTATTTTTGAAAAATCCAAATGAATATACAAGTTTTAGAAGTGTGGCCTTATAATGGGAGTTAGTTCTCTCATGAGAACACAAGTGGCTCAGAAGATAAAAATTATTAAATGGTACACTTAAGATCTGCGCATATCTTTTTTTATTATTCTTTTTTTTAATTTTTTTTATTTATTTGACAGAGAGAGAGCACAAGCAGGGAGAGCGGCAGGCTGAGGAGAAGCAGGCTCCCCACTGAGCAAGGAGCCCCATGCGGGATCGTGACCTGAGCCAAAGGCAGACACTTAACCCACTGAGCCACCCAGGAGCCCCAAGTACAGTAAAATATTAACAGTGGAATCCAAGTAGTAAGTACACAAGTGTTGATAGTAGAACTCTTTTCAACTTTTCTGTAAGTTGCAAAATGTGTATAATAAAGTGCTGGAAAAGAATAACTAGTTGAGAAAGGTAGATGACTAAGTGAACAAAAGATAGGAACTGGTAATTTCAATAAAAAAATCTTGATTTGAAAACCAAAAAGGAAGGTAGAGGTAATCACAGTATGGACGAATACCAATAGTTATGTATACATTAGAAAGATTATGGGCAAAGGAGAGGATGCCTCAATTGCTGGTTAGAAGAGAAAAAAATGAAGGGGAAAGGGCAGAGGTACGAGCAAAGCGGTAGGGGAGGGAAAGGGGGGGGCGGGTAGGCAGGAGGAAAGAATTAACACTTAAAGACATCAATTCCTGTAAATAGCTGAATGAGGACATTACGCAAAATGAGTAAATCATTAACAGAACCCACAGAAAGAATAAAAGGTACATCTAGAAATTGAAGCAAAGTACAAAATGAAAATATGTATATGTGAGGCAAAACTGGAAGACCTGGCATAACCTGAAAGGTAGATGCAAAACAAACTAAATCTCAGGAGAATATGAGAACCTATAATGGTTAAATTAAACTCATATTTTATAAAATATAATGCCTATAAAGGGTCAATGAGAACCTGTATAATCCCATCTCCAACTTCCACATTTGGTAGTCCTAAGAATTAACAAAAATGTTTCTTAAAGTCTCATATTTTGAATACATATTATTCTCATACACCCAAAACAATTGATAATTTTTCCATTTCCTCCTTTCATAAGATGACATGCCAGTGGTTGCACTTCCTTCCTAGCTAACTGTGTTTAAATAAATGAACTCTAACGGGCTGTATGTTCGACATGATTTACAATACTATTTTCAATAACTGTGCAGAACCC